GAGCACACAAGCCTCTCGGGCTGGTGAGTGCCGGTCGGCACCGATCCTCTGTGCGGGAATCTCTCCGCTTTGCCCTCCGCACCCCTGTTGCTGTGCTGTCCTCCGCGGCCCCGAAGCTCCCCGCTCCGCCTCCCGCTGTCTCCGCCCGCGAAGGGGCTTCCTAGTGTGTGGAGACCTTTCCTCCTTCACAGCTCCCTCCCACTGGTGCAGGTGCCGTCCCTATTCTTTTGTCTCTGTTTTTAATTAATTTTTTCTTTTGCCCTACCCAGGTATGTGGGGAGTTTCTTGCCTTTTGGGAGGTCTGAGGTCTTCTGCCAGCGTCCAGTAGGTGTTCTGTAGGAGTTGTTCCACGTGTCGATGTATTTCTGGTGTATTTGTGGGGAGGAAGGTGATCTCCGCGTCTTACTCCTCCGCCATCTTTCCACTGCTCCCCTGAGAGAACTTTTTCACACCTTAACAATGTTGACTGTACAGCTAATTGCAAGGGAAGATGATTCACTGCATTTGCAATACCCTATGAGTACATCCACCATGAGAGACTACCCCAACTTTGTGATAACATAAAAGTACTAAAATAAGTATTATATGATCAATGATAGAAAAATATAAAAACCTCAAAATAAATTGAGGTTTTTATCTGTGCCCATAAACAGAATGATGAGTTCAACCTCTTAATAATCAGATAAATGTAAATAGAAGCTATAATAGATGCCATTTTTTTACCTATTGAATTTTCTCCCAGTTTAAAAATTGGATACTATCAAGTGCTGATGAGGATGCGGAACACTAATTATTCTCCCTCATTTTCCCAAGTAGGTTGTAAAATTCTTGAAAGCAGGAAATATGTTTTAAACACATATTTTATACTTCATTGTCTTTAATCCCTCTCAGGATCCAGCCCATTGCTTTTTATATAGTATGTGTGTTAATTTCATATTTGTAAATGAGATTGAAGGATAAAGATTCATTATCAGAAACACAGTAGTGGAGGAAATTGGTTGAGAGCAAAAGAAGGTTTTTACTATCTTTGTGTCCAAAGGTATATATTGCTTGGCTACTCTGAGAATGAGGACCAGTGGTCTACTCACAGATTCAGTTTATTCCTAGAATAGAAAAAAATGAGAATGAAAATATTCTTGTATGTGCCATGGGTGGACAGAAGGGCAGGGCAGAGAGTCAGATCACAGAACTAAAGAGATCACAGAACTTCTAGCTTCCTTTTGCCTCCTTTCAGGCAAAAGGAGGTTAGAAGTAAAATGGAGGATCATTTTATCAATGAGAAATCTAAGGCCCATGGAAGTAAGTGTGAGGTTGCCTGGCTAGTTATTACCAAACTCCTTGTGTCTAACCACTTTACAGAGCAAAGGGGATATTTTTAAAGATAAATAAGAAAAGTAGAGTTTATTAATATATGGGCATAATTAAGATGTTAGCCTTAGAAACGTAAGGGAAAACATGTAGCTTAAATGGGGTGTTTGCGCGATGAGAAACAAAACCCTAGATATTTAAAAATTCTAAGTAAATGACACTGCTGGAAACAGTTGAATCACACATTTCCTCCACAAGTAGGAGCTAGTTTCACTCTAGAATAGCCAGCCATGCTGGGCAGTATGCCCATTGTGTCACTGATACAGCCTGGTGATAAGTTGGTAACTAAGTGCAGTTACTGGTGATACATCCCCACTGACATCATGATTCTGAAATACTGCTTGCTATCACTTTCACTCTTTGAATGGTTGTATTCTGCTGAGTGGCCGAAATGAGATTAAATTGGTGGCAAAGGGCTCTCGTGACTTTTCTACAAACATTCTCAGTTGTCAAAGTCAAATGGAGTCAACTGACAGTCATAGTCTACTATTACACATTCTTTTGTACTGCTTGGTAACAATGAAGATCGGGTCAATTGGAAAGCTCTTTTAGATTATGTCTAAGAGAAACTTGACTTATATTTTTTCTAAAAATAGGAGTAGTTTTGAATGATTAACAACTCAAATTTCTGATAGGATGATTTTGCTAAATATTCATAGTACTTAAATATACCTCACACTTTTTCAAAAATAATATGCATCAGATAAATGTAAGGGAAAAACAGAAACCATTTAAATGCAATTATTCTTTAACATTTTTCTTTATATAAAATTATGTGGTCACATTTTGAGAGGCAGGTAAAAGGGCTGACTTCATGGCAACCTGTGAACTCAGTATTATTATATTGATATAATAAAGCAAAACTGCCATCTGGAATAAGACATAACCCGTATTGTGATTTAAACTTATTTGGAAAATTTATGTGTGAAACTCTTTTCGATGGCACTTTTTTTGTGTGTACATGTTGCAGGGTTATTTGCAGACGTGGACTGGGTGGTGCTCAGAGAGCTAACTGTAATACAAGCCTGGATCTCCCATTTTCTTGTTGTAAGATTACTAGGCAATAACTGCCCCTTTCTGTGCATTTTATTTTTCTCACTGTAAAATGCTTGTAATCAAAGCATTTGTGAGGCTAAGTTAGATAAGAGACAGCAAGTATTTTCAGATCTTCAGATGATAGATGCTATATAAATACAAGATAGAGACATCAGTATGCATTTAATAGAAGATTGCAATGATGGCTATAAATACAGAAATGTTTATTTGGCTACTTAACTTGATCATTGGTTGAAACATTTATTTTAGAAATGAGCGATACTTCTGAGATATTATCTACACAGGGTGACAGACTTGACCTTCAACAGGCAACTTTCTGATTATTCCTGTGAAGAATGAGTTGTGTGCACTCTGTTTCTGGATTTGTGTTAAAAATAAGCTTCGGGGCTCAGCGGCCAGGAAGGCAAATGTAGTATGGTAGCATTCCGGGAGTACTCAAGGCTTTGCGTTGCAAATCCAATGCTACCAGTGTGAAGAATTCCAACTGAATAATGACTGCTCCAACCCCGAATTCATCATGAATTGCACGGTGAACGTTCAAGACATGTGTCAGAAAGAAATGATGGAACACAGCGCAGCCGTGTGGCTGACAGAGTCTTGGTGCTCTGGCCAGGTGTCAGGCCTGAGCCTCTGAGGTGGGAGAGCAGAGTTCAGGACATTGGACCACCAGAGACCTCCCAGCCCCACATAATATCAATCGGTGAGACCTCTCCCAGAGATCTCTGTCTCAACGCTAAGACTGAGCTCCACTCAACGACCAGCAAGCTCCAGTGCTGGACACCCCAGGCCAAACAACTAGCAAGACAGGAACACCACCCCACTCATTAGCAGAGAGGATGCCAAAAATCATACTAAGTTCACAGACACCCCAAAACACACCAACAGACATGGTCCTACCCATGAGAAATACAAGATCCAGGCTCATCCACCAGAAGACAGGCACCAGTCCTCTCCACCAGGAAGCCTACACAAGCCAGTGAACCAACCTTACCCACTGGGGGAAGACACCAAAAACAATGGGAAGTACTAACCTGTAGCCTGCGAAAAGGAGACTCCAAACACAGTAAGTTAAGGAAAATGAGAAGACAGAGAAACACACAACAGATGAAGGAGCAAGGTAAAAACCCACCAGGCCAAACAAATGAAGAGGAAATAAGCAGTCTACCTGAAAAACAATTTAGAGTAATGATAGTAAAGATGATCCAAAATCTTGGAAATAGAATGGAGAAAATACAAGAAAAGTTTAACAAGGACCAAGAAGAACTAAAGATCAAACAAACAATGATGAACAACACAATAAATGAAATTAAAAATTCTCTAGAAGGGATCAATAGCAGAATAACAGAGGTAAAAGAACAGGTAAGTGACCTGGAAGATAAAATAGTGGAAATAACTACCTCAGAACAGAATAAAGAAAAAAAGAATGAAAAGAATTGAGGACAGTCTCAGAGACCTCTGGGACAACATTAAACACACCAACATTCGAATAATAGGGGTCGCAGAAAAGAAGAGAAAAAGAAAGGGACTGAGAAAATATTTGATGAGATTATAGTTGAAAACTTCCCTAGTATGTGAAAGGAAATAGTCAATCAAGTCCAGGAAGCTAAGAGGTTCCCATACAGCATAAACTCAAGGAGAGACATGCCAAGATGCATACTAATCAAAGTATCAAAAATTAAATACGAAGAAAAAATATTAAAAGCAGCAAGGGAAAAGCAACAAATAGCATACAAGGGAATCACCATAAGGTTAATAGCTGATCTTTCAGCAGAACTCTGCGAGCCCTGCAAGCCAAATGGGAGTGGCAGGACATATTTTAAGTGATGAAAGGGAAAAACCTACAACGAAGATTACTCTACCCAGCAAGGATCTCATTCAGATTCGAGGGAGAAGTTAAAACCTTTACAGACAAGCAAAAGTTAAGAGAATTCAGCAGCACCAAACCAGCTTTACAACAAATGCTAAAGGAACTTCTCTAGGCAGGAAACACAAGAGTAGTAAGAGATCTACAATAACAAACCCAAAACAATTAAGAAAATGGTAATAGGAACATACATATCAATAATTAACTTAAATGTAAATGGATTAAATGCTCCAACCAAAAGACATAGACTGGCTGAACGGATACAAAAACAAGACCCATATATATGCTGTTGAGAGGACACCCACTTCAGACCTAGGGACACATACAGACTGAAAGTGAGGGGATGGAAAAAGATATTCCATGCAAATGGAAATCAAAAGAAGCTGGAGTAGCAAGTCTCATATCAGACAAAATAGACTTTAAAATGAAGACTATTACAAGAGACAAAGAGGACATTACATAATGATCAAGGGATCAATCCAAGAAGAAGATATAAGATTTGTAAATATTTATGCACCCAACATAGGAGCAACTCAACACATAAGGCAAATGCTAACAGCCATAAACGGGGAAATCGACAGTAACACAATCATAGTAGGGGGTTTTAACACCCCACTTTCACCAATGGACAGAACATCCAAAATGAAAATAAATAAGGAAACACAAGCTTTAAGTGATACATTAAAAAAGATAGACTTAATTGACATTTATAGGACATGCCATCCAAAAACAACATAATACACTTTCTTCTCAAGTGCTCATGGAACATTCTCCAGGATAGAGCACATCTTGGGTCACAAATCAAACCTTGGTAAATTTAAGAAAATTGAAATCATATCAAGTATACTTTCCGACCACAATGCCATGAGACTAGATATCAATTACAGGAAAAAAACTGTAAAAAATACAAACATATGGAGGCTAAACAATATGCTACTAAATAACCAAGAGATCACTGAAGAAATCAAAGAGGAAATCAAAACATATCTAGAAACAAATGACAATGAAAACACGACGACCCAAAACCTATGGGATGCAGCAAAAGCAGTTCTAAGAAGGAAGTTTAGAGCAATACAATCCTACCTCAAGAAATAAGAAACATCTCGAATAAACCTAACCTTACACCTAAAGCAATTAGAGAAAGAAGAAGAAAGAAACCCCAAAGTTAGCAGAAGGAAAGAAATCATAAAGATAAGATCAGAAATAAATGAAAAAGAAATGAAGGAAACGATAGCAAATATCAATAAAATGAAAAATGGTTCTTTGAGAAGATAAACAAAATTGATAAACCATTAGCCAGACTCATCAAGAAAAAAGGGAGAAGACTCAAATCAACAGAATTAGAAATGAAAAAGGAGAAGTAACAACTGACACTGCAGAAATACAAAGGATCATGAGGGATTACTACAAGCAACTCTATGCCAATACAATGGACAACCTGGAAGAAATGGAGAAATTCTTAGAAAAGCACAACCTTCTGAGACTGAACCAGGAAGAAATAGCAAATATAAACAGACCAATCACAAGCACTGAAAATGAGAGTGTGATTTAAAATCTCCCAACAAAAAAAAGCCCAGGACCAGATGGCTTCACAGGCGAATTCTATCAAACATTTAAAAAAGAGCTAAAAGCGATCCTTCTCGAATTCTTCCAAAACATAGCAGAGGGTAGAACACTCCCAAACTCATTCTACGAGGCCACCATCACCCTGATACCAAAACCAGACAAAGATGTTACAAAAAAAGAAAACTACAGACTGATATCACCAACAAACATAGATGCAGAAATCCTCAACAAAATACTAGGAAACAGAATCCAGCAGCACATTAAAAGGATCATATACCATGATCAAGTGGGGTTTATCCCAGGAATGGAAGGATTCTTCAATATATGCAAATCAATCAATGTGATACACCATATTAACAAACTGAAGGAGAAAAACCATATGATCATCTCAGTACATGCAGGAAAATCTTTTGACAAAATTCAACACCCATTTATGATAAAAACTCTCCAGAAAGTAGGCATAGAGTGAACTTACCTCAACATAATAAAGGCCATATATGACAAACCCATAGCCAACATCATTCTCAATGGTGAAAAACTGAAACCATTTCCACTAAGATCAGGAATAAGACAAGGTTGCCCACTCTCACCACTATTATTCAACATGGTTTTGGAAGTCCTAGCCACAGCAATCAGAGAAGAATAAAAGATAAAAGGATCCAAATCAGAAAAGAAGAAGTAAAACTCACTGTTTGCAGATGACATGATACTGTACATAGAGAATCCTAAAGATGCCTCAGAAAACTACTAGAGCTAATCAATGAATTTGGTAAAGTAGCAGGATACAAAATTAATGCACAGAAATCTCTTGCATTCCTATACACTAATGATGAAAAATCTGAAAGAAAAATTAAGGAAACACTCCCATTTACCATTGCAACAAAAAGAATAAAATACCAGGAATAATCCTACCTAAGGAGGTAAAAGACCTGTGCTCAGAAAACTATAAGACACTGGTGAAAGAAATTAAAGGTGATACAAACAGATGGAGAGATATACCATGTTCTTGTATTGAAAGAATCAACATTGTGAACATGAATGTACTACCCAAAGCAATCTACAGATTCAGTGCAATCCCTATCAAACTAGCAATGGCATTTTTCACAGACCTAGAACAAAAAATTTCACAATTTGTATGGAGACACAAAAGACCCCGAATAGCCAAAGCAATCGATGAAGAAAAACGGAGCTGGAGGTATCAGGCTCCCTGTTTTCAGACTTAACTACAAAGCTACAGTAATCAAGACAGTATGGTACTGGTACAAAAACAAAAATATAGATCAATGGAACAGGATAGAAAGCCAAGAGATAAACCCATGCACATATGGTCACCTTTTCTTTGATAAAGGAGACAAGAGTATACAGTGGAGAAAAGACAGCCTCTTCAATAAGTGGTGCTGGGAAGCCCCGACAGCTACATGTAAAAGAATGAAATTAGAGCACTCCCTAACACCATACACAAAAAGAAACTCAAAATGAATTAAATGTAAGGCCAGACGCTATAAAACTCTTAGAGGAAACTATAGGCAGAACACTCTATGACATAAATCACAGCAAGGTCCTTTTTGACCCACCTCCTAGAGAAATGGAAATAAAAACAAAAATAAACAAATGGGACCTAATGAAACTTAAAAGCTTTTGCACAGCAAAGAAACTATAAACAAGACGAAAAGACAACCCTCAGAATGGGAGAAAATATTTGGTAAGGAAGCAACTGACAAAGGATTAATCTCCAAAGTATACCAGCAGCTCATGCAGCTCAATAACAAAGACAACGCAATCCAAAAATGGGCAGAAGACGTAAATAGACATTTCTCCAAAGAAGATATACAGATTGCCAACAGACACATGAAAGAATGCTCAACACCACTAATCGTTAGAGAAATGCAAATCAAAACTGCAGTGAGCTATCACCTCACACGGGTCAGAATGGCCATCATCAAAAAATCTACAAACAATAAATGTTGGAGAGGGTGAGGAGAAAAGGGAACTCGCTTGCACTGTTAGTGGGAATGTAACGTGATACAGCCACTATGGAGAACAGTATGGACGTTTCTTAAAAAACTAAAAATAGAACTACCATATGACCCAGAACTCTCACTACTGGGCATATACCCTGAGAAAAACATAATTCAAAAAGAATCATGTAC